TAGTTCTCAAGGATTCAACTATTACCTTTCCACATATGATTCTTAAATCTACCTATTTATCCTCATCTATCATCTGAACTTCAGTTCTGTATACCACCTGTCTGCTGGACAGCTCTACTTGTATGCCGTCTAGTCATCTCAAACTCAACAAGATTGAAAAAGAACTAGTTATTTTTTTATTATTTACATTTATTGTTACATTATTGCTGGTACTGTGTACAATGTTCTCCTGGTTCTACTCATTTTATTTTGCATCAGTTCATATAATTCTTCCCAGGTTTTTCTGAACCCTCTTGTCATATACATGATAACACATCGTGTACTATATATATATATGATAATTTTTGTACTGATTTTAGGTTGACAAAGTGCTTTCCCCATGACAGTCCTCTGAGGCACACAGCACAACACTATTCCATCACAATCATATATCACAACTTGTTCAGTCAGCCATTCCCCAACTGATGAGCATCCCCTCTTTGCCACCACAAAAGAGCTACCATATTTTTGTATATATACGTCTTTTTCCTTTTTCTTTAATCTCTTTGGGATACAGACTTAATAGCGTGCATCACTGGGTCAAAGGGTATGCATAGTTGGATAGCCCTTTAGGCATAGTTTCAAATTGTTCTCCAGAATGGTTGGACTAGATTACAGTTCCATCAACAGTGCATTAATGTCCCTCTTCTTAGTTCTGCTGAGGACACATTCCTCTAGTCATCCGGGTTCACAACCTAAGAGTCACCCTCAAGTTTCATCCAAATCAAATGTGCCTCAACCTTACTCACTTCTGTTACTATCTCTCCAATAACAACCACAGGTATGATGAAAGCTTGGCCCTAGTGTCCTGGTCACACAAGACCCAGGCTCTGTGCATTCCTTCCCCCTACGATGCAGCTAGGTGGCGCCATAGTGTACAGAGTGCTGGACTTGGAGTCAGGGAAACTTGTGTTGAAACCCCATCTAGGATACTTATCAGCTGTGTGATCCTGGGCAAGATGCTTAACCTCTGTCTGCCTCAGTTTCCTCACCTTTGAAAAAGAGATAATAAAGCACCCACCCCCTAGGGTTGTTGTGAAGGTAAAATGAGATATCTGTAAAATGCTTTACAAAGCTTAAAGCACCCTACAGGCAAACCTCAGAGATAATGCGGGTTCAGATCCATACCACTACAATAAAGTGAGTATCGTAATAAAGTGACACACAAATTTTTGGTTTCCCAATGCATATAAAAGTTATGTTCACACAATACTGTGTAGTCTATTAAGTGTGCAATAGTATATGTTTAAAAAATGTACATACCTTAATTAAAAAATACTTTATTGCTAAAAAATGCTAACCCTCATCTAAGCCTTCAGTGAGTTTTAATCTTTTTGCTGGTGGAGGGCTGATGTTGATAGCTGCTGACTGATGAGGGTGGTGGTTGCTGAAGGTTGGGGAGGCTGTGGTTATTTATTAAAATAAGACAACAATGAAGTTTGCCCCATCTACTGACTCTTCCTTTCACTTGAACACTAAGAAGCCACTGGAGGGTTATTAATTGGCATAATTTCAATATTGTTATGTTGCACAGACTATGGAGACTGGAGGAGAGGGAGAGAGATGGGGGTGAGGTGGGTGGGAGAACAGCTGGTTGGTGGAACAGTCAGAAGACACATGGCATTCATCATTGAAGTTTGCCATGTTATATGGACATGATTAGTGTTTCCCCAAAACAATTACGATAGTAACATCAAAGATCACTGATCACAGATTACAATAACAGATAATAATAATGAAAAAGTTTGAAATATTGCAAGAATTACCAAAGTGTGACACAGAGACATGATGCAAGCACATGATGTTAGAAAAAGGGCGCCAACAGACTTGCTTAAAACACAGTTACCACAAATCTTTAATTTGTAAAAAAAAAAAAAAAATGCAATTCCTGAGAAGCGAAATAAAGAGAAAGCACAGTAAGACGAGGTATGCCTGTACAAATGCTAGCTACCATTGTTATCTAGATTACTGCAATAACTTCCGAAATGGTCTTCTTGCATTTAGCCTCTCCATTCTCCAATCTATTCCCCACAAATCTGCCAAAATAATCTTCTTTAAACTTCCCTTGTTCAAGAAGCCTTTAGCAGACCCCTGCTGCCTCCAGGATATAATACAAAAGGCCTTCACAAGTTGGCTCCAGTCAGTCTTTCCAGGTTGTGATTACACATTACTACCATCATTTACCAGCCAGCCAAACTAGCCGATTTCTGTTCCCCAGATGTGATGTAATATTCCATTTTCTGGTCCCTGTGTACACACCCACCCGATGCCTAGAATACTCTCTCACCTCACTTCTGCCTGTTAGAATCCCTAGCTTCATTCAAGGCTCACTCCAAGTACCATTTCCTTCAAGAAGCTTTTTCTGATTCCTCCAGTTATCAGTCTCCCCCTTCCCCACTTCTGTCATTTTAAATTTCCAATATATCCTGCACATGCTTATATGTGAACATATATCTTCCTGGTAACATGTAAGCTTATATGTGAACATATATCTTCCTGGTAACATGTAAGCAGGAATGATCTCATTTTTGTCTTTCGATCTTCAGCTCCTCACATAGCACCTGGCACTTACTAGGCCTTTAACAAATGCTTAAGAGGCAGTCTGCCATAGTGGCTAGCGAGCTGGTGTCAGGGCCTGGAAGAGAGGGCTGAGGTCCTGCTTCTGTCACACACTGACTGTGTGGCCTGGGGAAAGCGTCCCAGCGCAACTTGTGAAGCCTATGAAATGAGAGCAGGTGTTGATCTGTGCTGGTGGAGAAAGTCTTACCAGGAACTCCCTACAGCCATGAAATCACGGGTCTGGTAAAAAACAAACCAACACCAACAAAAACCGAGCAAAGAAATAAACAAAAAACCCAAAGAAAAGCAAAGCTTGCTGACTGACATTGTGGGCAGGTGTGGGTGGAGCAGGGAGTCCACTGTAGCACGGGCAGTTGTGGACCACACGATTCTACAGATCTTCAAGCAGAAGCAGGATGAATACTTGCTGGGTATGTTGCAGTGGGGATTCCTTTTCTATAGGGGTTTAATTAAAGGGATGCCGAAATTTCTTCTTACTCAAAAATTCTGTGATTCTGTAGCCACAGATCCAGCTAGAAGGAACCATCTAGGGGCCATCTAGTCAGAATCTCTATTTTTGAAAAATGAGAAAACTTAGGCTCAAAAATGTTAAGTCACTGATCCAAGGTCACACAGGCATGCAATGTCAAAGGTGAGTTTTGAAACTGGGTTTTTTGACTCCAGAATCAGTACTTTTTCTCCACACTATTCTGGGCCTGAGTTTCCTCCTCTGTAAAGAGGTCTAGATGAGCCAAGCCAGACAAGTTAAGTCAACAGCATTTATTAAGTAGCTACTATGTGCTAAGTAATGGGAATACAAAGGAAGGTAAAAATAGTCCTTGCTCTCAAGGGGCTCACAATCTAACGTGGGGGGGAGTAAAAATGTGGACAATTATATGCATGCATATGTGTATATATATATGTGTGTATACATACGTGTATGTATATATGTATATGTATGTGTGTATATATATATACACACATATATATACATATACATATACATATATCACTTGGAGATAATCTCTGGGGAAGACACTAACAGGAAGGAAGATTGGGAAAGATTTCTTGGAGAAGGTGGAATTTTAGCCGAGACCTGAAGCTGTGGAAGCCAGGAAGAAGCAATGAAGAGGGAGAGCATTCCAGGCATGGGGGAGAATGCGCAGTGAAAATGCCCAGAGTTAGGTAATGTCTGGTGTCAGGAACACGAAGGAGGCCAGTGTCACTGGATAGTAGAGTACTTCAAGATGTAAGAAGAATGCAATGTAGGATATAGGAATGTAGATGTAAGAAGCAACCAGGTGATGAAGGACTTTAAAAGGCAGAGGATTTTATATCTGTGCCTGGAGATGACAGGGTACTACTGAAATTTACTGAATAACAGGGTGACATGGTCAGACCTGTGCTTTAGGAAGATCGCTTTGACAGCTGAGTGGAGGATGGACCGAGGTGGAAAGAGACTTGAGGCAGGGAGACCACCTGGCCACTTATTGTCCAGGGGGGAGCTGATGAGGGCCTTCACCAGGGCGGTGGAAGTGTCCAACAAGGGTGTGTGGGTCTGATAGGACTGGACTGGCTTTGGGAGGTGAGAGTGAGAGAAGAATTAAGAATGACACCGAGGTGTTCTTATTGTGTGACTGGAAGGGGAGTGGTGCCCTTGACAATAATAGAAGGATGGGGGAGAGATGAGTTCCGTTTTGGACAGGCTGAGTCTAAGACGTCTACAGGACATCCAGTTCCAGATGTCCATCAGACATCTGGAGATGTGGGCCTGGAGAACAGGAGGGAAGCTAGAGCCGCATAAATTTGGGAATTATCAGCACAGAGATGATAATTAAATCCACAGGAGCTGATGACATCACCACATGAACAGAGGAAGGAGAGGGCCAAACCAGAACCCTCTGGGACCGCCACGGGATACTGGGTACCCCCTGGGGGGAAGGACTGAGGAGTGGTCAGAGAGGCAGTTGGAGAAGCAAGAAGAAGCTGAGACGTGGGATGGGAGGTTCAGCACCAAAGGCCGCAGAGGGGTCAGGGAGAGTGAGGACTCAGAAAAGACCATCAGAGGGGCTTTCATAAGGACAAGACCACAGATCTAGACCTGAAAGGGATTTCCGAGGTCTTCCAGTCCAGCCCCCTCATTTTACAGATGAGGAAACTGAGGCCTGGAGACACCTTCTACTTAACCCCCCCTTAGACGTGAGGACAGTGAGATGGGGGGGTATGGAGGTGGGGCACTGCCTCAGTTTCCCCCGGTGTAATAGGAGGGGCAGGCCTGGGTGTGCCCCTGCTGCGGCTGCTCCACGAGGCTGGGGGCGGGGATGGATGGCTGGATGGATGGCTGGCTGGCTGGATGGATGTACGGACGGACGGACGGACGGGGCGCGGGGCCCCCTACTTACCAGGCCAAGGCCAGGCTGGTCCCGAGGGAGAGCAGGCACAGCACGGTCCGCGGGTCCGCCCAGCCGCCGCCGCCGCCGCCGCCTCCCGCTCCCCGGGCCGGCTCCGGGGGCTGCCCGGCCTCGCCGCGTCGGCCCGGCTCCGGGGGCGCCCCCTTGGCGCCCGCCTTCTTGCGATGCTTCGCCTCGGACATGTCCGCGGGCCCTGGGGGGGGACACGGGCGGCCGCTGACTGTGACGAGGCCGGGATGGGGGGCAGGCATCGCAGCCTCCCCCGCCCGGGCCCCCGAGGGCCTCCCCGCCCGCTTCTTTACCTTAGCGCATCCGTCTGTCCGTCTGTCCGTCCGTCAGTCTGTCCGTCCGTCCGTCCGTCAGGGTGTCCGCAGCCGCCGGCAGCGCCGCTGCTCCTTCTTCGCTGGGAGCCTGGGGGGCGGGGCCGCTCGCGCCCACTCTAGGCACGTCCCCGCCGCGCGCGCGCTCCACCCGCGGACCCGCCCCGCCCCTCCCCGCCCGGCTTTCTGGTCCTCCAGGCGTCGGCTAGATGGAGAGCGAGCGCGCGCGCGTGCGTGCGTGAGAGGCTCCACCCCCACTTCAGAGTAAAGGCAGGGTTTGATTGCGCGCGCAGCCTTGGCGGCCTGAAGTTCATTTTGGGGGCTGCGGCGGGCAGGGCGCGAGAGCGAGGCCGCAGCAGCTCCTGAGGTGCGCGCGCAGCCTGGACAGCCTGAACAATTACAGCGTGGGCTGTGGAGGCCTGGGCGCGAGCGCCACACGTCCCTGAAAGGAAAGCCCCCGTTTGGCTGCGCGCGCAGCCGGCGGCTCCAGGGCCCGGGCTGGCGCTCGCGAGTGCGCGCTTGCCTCCTCCAGCCGCTTCTCTTGGCCTCGGGGCGGGGCGTGGAGGGCTGCGGCTTGGCTCGGCCCCTCCCCTCCGTCCTGGATGTAACTGAGGCAATCTGCCTTTAGCGTAGACGGATCCGGCGCCCGAGCAGCCGCCGGAGCCTCGCCGTGGTCCTCCGAGGTCGGGGAGGAGGAAGAAGTTACTTTGTAAAAGCTCAGACTTGCCCCTTCCCCCTCCCCGGGCCGGAGCACGGCCCCCAGCCGCGCGCCCGGAGCATTTCCCTCCGTCCGGGGCTCCGGGGTCCGAGAGCTAGGACGTGAGCGAGCCCGCGGCCGCCCCGGGGGACGGAGTGTCTCGTCCTGGACCGAGCGCCTGCAGGCGGCCTGCGGAGAACGGACGGCCCCTCCCGGGAAAGGTTTGTGCAAAGCGGCCGTGCGGCTGCACATGACCCGCTCCTCCAGGCGCGAGGGACCGGAGCGATCCATCAGTCACTCAGTCAACAAACCTGACGTGCCTACTGTGTGCCAGGCACCGGGCTGGGCGCTGTTGGTAAAAGGAAACAGCCCCTAGCATCGGGGACCTTACTGTCTATGGGGGAAACTCTGTCCACTGTCTCAAATGAATTAGAAGGAAAGTACTTTACAAGCTTCAAAAATGCTGTATTGTGTATGTTGGCAGGTATATGTCCTGTCTATATCCGTAGCTATCTGTATATACAGTATACGCATATGTGTATACACAATATACGTGATACAGATACACACGTAGATTTGTGTCTCTCTGCATATATAAAGCACAGGGAATTTCAGGAGGGATTTGGGGATGGAAATCAGACCTTAGAGGGTCTTGGAGGGTAGACGTTCTTTCATTTTTGAGCCTGGTACATAGTAGGCACCCTGAGCAAATGTTCCTTGATGGGGGTTGAAACCAGTCTAACTTCCTCCTTTTACAGATGAGGAAATAGTCTCCTCTTTTCTAGTAAATTACTTGCCTACGTTGACCAGAGTGGCCGAGCCCAGCCGTCCCCACTTCACACGGGTAGCGTGTTCTGGCTTGTACTTAAGTGACAAAAGCTTGGTTTTTGGCAAGAAGACGCTTCTTTCCGTCTCCAGGGGACAATTTTTCAGCGTGAAAATGTTTTATTTCTATTGTTTTGCCCTAAAATCTCTCTGACCTGAGTCTAATATTTCATGCCCGGAACTCCCCCTAACCAGCCTGTTTGTACATTTAGAGACCTGATGTGGTCCCTGGCCGAGTAAGTTTGGGCAGTGCTGGCCCTGGCAGTTTCACTTTTGCTATATTATAGCCTGTTACTCTTGTGCATTCTCAGCAGTATCCTGTAAATGCGGGAGAGAAGGGAGGAGGAGGAAACTGGGATGTGATCCTAGGGGAAACTGCTTTCACCGTGGAGGTAGGTCCACAGCTTCTACTTCCTAAGTTAAATTCAAATTAGATGTAAGAGGGAGCAAGGTGGTTCAGCGCTGGGTGCTGTACTTGGAGTAAGGAAATTGTTCACTCATTTTTTTTTTCAGTTGTGTCTGACTCCCTTTTTTCTCTATGTTATGACCTCATCTGGCGTTTTCTTGTCAATAATACTGGAGTGGTTTGGCCACTCATTTTATGGATGAGGAAAATGAGGCAAACTGGGTTAAGTGAGTTGTCTAGGGTCATACGGCTAGTAAATGTCTGAGGTCAAATTTGAACTCTGACTTCAGGCCTAGCAGTCTATTCACTATGCCCTTTACCTGGGGTAAGGAAGAATTGAGTTTAAATCTTACCTCAGACACTTGCGAGGGGTGTGCGTGCGTGTGTGTGTGTGTGTGTGTGTGTGTGTGTGTGTGTGTGTGTGTGTGAGAGAGAGAGAGACAGGCTGATCTACTCCGGGCACGTCATTTCACCTGTCTCAGACTCACTTTCCTCATCTGTGTAATGGACATAATAATAATAGCATGTGCTTCACAGGATTATTATGGTGAGGATCACTTTGCAAACCTTAAAGTGCTTTATAAATGTGTGGTATTATTATTATGGCAAAGAACTTTCCACAGAACAGTGCTGTGGAATAGATAAATAGCCTAGATCACACAGCTAGTGTTAGCCAGGATTTAAAGCCTGCTTTTTTTCCCCCAATTCCCAAACTGGTGATCTTCCATTACATCGTGCTGCCTCTCTGAAATATTCCTAAGTTAAAATATTTAACAGAATTTCAGAAGCTCCTAAAACTCTTCACCTCCAGGCATGGTTTTTCCTCCCGTTTTCACAAAAGGAACTTCGACTTATTCCAGCCATCTGCATTTGTGAACTTTGACAAATGCAGACAAATGGTCGCACTTCTATTTTGGGCCCCCACCTCATTTGGTGATATTTATTTTAAATATGGCCATTTGTTAATAGCCATTTTAGAATCTTGTTGCAATAAACTCGGTGGGAAATTGTGATTGACTTAGAAACATGAGCTTTTACGCTTAATATTAAATATTATGCTTAGGGCTTTGGAACACTCTTATTTGTTGCTGGCTCTAAGGAATTCAGAAAGCAGATTGTGGAAGGCTGATTTTTACTGTACCTTCCTTTGCCCTGAATCCAAGGGATGACATCAGAGAGTGTGCGTGTGTATGTGTGGGGGAAGGGTTTCCTCTTGTTTTGTCTTGCTCTGGAGCCCAGCTGGGAATGCTGAGCACATGAGAAAGGTTTGCCTAACACAGACAAAGAGCTGGCGATGGGGATTTCCACCTTGTTAATGGCCCTGGCAATTCCAAAAGCCAGTTTGGATTTTCCAGATGGAAGAAAGTAGCTGGGTTGGGCCTGCCCTGTGACTCCAGCGTTTCGGTATCTTGATTACAGCTCATGTTTGTCCCTGCTGAAGACGAACATCAGCTTGGTGGAGGATGGATGCCAAAGCTCGGAACTGTTTGCTTCAGCACAAGGAAGCCCTGGAAAGAGACATCAAGACTTCCTACCTCATGGATCACATGATTTCTGATCGGGTCCTTAGTTTGTCAGAGGAGGAGAAAATAAGAGATCAGGTATATCCCCTTATAACGCCCCCCCCCCCCCATACTAGAAGGACTAGGTGTGTTAGTTGATGTAAGAGTTTTAAAATAATTTTTTATAATATACCACATTTTCTCCTATCTGTCCAAATGCAGATTGGACTTTAAATATAAATAATTATGAGCAGATATTGTAATTTTATTTTGAAATAAAATTTTCATTCTCTTATCTCTATTTTCTTTATGGATAAAAATTGTACTGTGTCAATGATGCAGCCTAGTTCTTCAAGGTATTAATAAATTTTAGTCCTTCTATTAACTACCCTCTGAAGCAGGAGTTCTTAATATAGGGTCTACACACTCCCAGCGGGTCTGTGGATGGATTTTGGGGTGGGGGCGTCTGTGAACTTGGATGGGAAAAAACTATGGTTTTATTTTCACTAACATTTAACTGAAATTTAACCTTTAAGTATTTCAAAACCTTATTGTGAAATGGGGTCCCTGGACTTTATCAAACTACCAAAGGGGCTTATGATAGAGAAAAAAGGTTAAGGGCTCCTGTTCTCAGGCTACTTGTGTTGCCTTAGAAGTTTTCAGAATTTATCCTGGACACTTGCTAATGGAAGAAAAAAGTCCTTATATATACCAAGTTTTCTTTTGTTTTGTTTTTTTTCCTTTTAGCCTACCCAAAAGAAGAGAGCATCTATGCTCATTAGGGTGCTACTTGAAAAAGATAATACTTCATACATATCTTTCTACAATGCTCTGCTACACGAAGGCTACAAGGATTTGGCTTTCCTTCTCCAAGATGGTATTCCTCATCCTTCATATAATGGAAAGGATGCAGTGGATGGAGTGACTTCATACGGTCAGTATCTGGGATCTAGTTCATGTTCTCTCAAGAAATACTAAAATTTTATCTCATGGGATCGAAAGATTATAGGATTAGAGCTAAGAGAGACTTATAGACCATCAAGTCCAACCTCTCTGTTAGCAGAGTTGTGACCTTTAAAGGTTTGAGAGACATAATTTCTGGATAATGTAATCATTTTATTAATTTTGCCAGTATGTTTATTAATAAAAGACTAGTCATTTGGCCATCTCTCTCTTAGACCAAAGACAGTCATGGTGACAGGGCTCAGGCATATATTGTCCGTTGGACAAGAAGTGTGTTCCCAGGGTGACAATCAACTCTGACTGGTTAACAATTAATGAATGTTGCAGTGAGGGGCTGAACATACTCAAAAGAACTTTGATTATATCATTTACTTCTGTGTTAACCTCCTCCACCCCTTGGGCATTCTATTCAAAGAATTTATCCCATCCAAAACTGAGTAGAGCACAATGGCTTCCCCACCTGGGTGGGGTCTGAAAGTTAGTCCAGGGCAACTAGGTGGATAGAGCTCCGGCCTTGGAGTCAGGAGATCAAATCTGGCCTCAGATACCTGACACTTACTGTGTGACCCTGGGCAAGTCACTTAACCCCATTGCCTAGCACAAAAAGCAAAAAAAAAAAAAAAAAGTTCAGTCTCATTATCAGTGATCTCTTTCAAGAGACTGAACCTTTGAAATCAGGACTTTAGA